TATTTTTGAGAGAGAGACAGAGAGAGCGAGAGGGAGAGGGGCAGAGAGACAGGGAGAGAGAGAATCCTAAGCAGGCTCCATACTGTCAGCATGGAGTCCAGTGTGGGGCTCGAACCCACATGGCATGAGATCATGACCCAAGCTGAAACCAAGAGTATGACGCTTAGCCGACTGAGCCACCCAGGTGCCCCAAATACTTCCTACTTCTGAGTTGCCTTATGGGATTGAAATTGCCTATTACTTCAGTATGAAATGCTCTTCTACCATTGTATTTGACATAATTACTTATAAGCTCTTAAAATTTTGTGCTCCTTGGCTCCTACTGCAGTAGTAACCCAGAAAAAAAAAAGTAAAGCAAAAATTACTGATCTTAACCTGATTCTTAGTAGATAATGAGAATGGTTAGTAAGCTGTGACTTTGGGTTCAGGCCTCCTCTTACTCTTATCCTATGGAACAACACTTACACTTCCCAGGTGTCCAAGACCCTGCTCCATCCTGTTTCCTTCTACTGTACTTATATTCTTTTTCAGATTCACAGGTTCTTTTTCTTTCAACGCACCTCTTTGTTTAAGCAAATTTCCCAATGTCCAAACTCTTTGCTGAATGCTACCAGACCTTCCCTTTATCACTTAAATCTGGATGACCCTAAATCTAAATCTCCATTCTGATCTCTGATTTGATGTCCAGACCTAAGGTTCTTGAACTTTGTTCAAGGAGTGCCTCCCTCCCAGACAAATAAGAAGTTGATATTTTCTAAACCAAACTCATTATCTTCACTTCTAAGCCTACTTTTATGGATGCTCCCCCACCCTCCACTCCAAACTGCATCTCTATTGGGATTACTACTCAACCAATCTCTCAAGATAGAAACTAATTCTTTGACTCTCACCCATCTCACATACTAATCAATTAACAAGTGTTATAGAATCACTTTTTTTAATGTTTATTTTTGAGAGAGACAAAGAGAGAGAGCACGAGCAGGGGAAGGGCAGAGAGAGAGGGAGACAGAGGATCCGAAGCAAGCTCTGTGCTGACAGCAGAGAGGTCAATGTGGGGCTTGAACGCACCAACCGTGAGACCATGACCTGAGCTGAAGTTGGACGCTCAACCGAGCCACCCAGACACCCCTAGAATCAGTTTTTTTGGGGGAGAGGAGAATCTTTGTTTTAACTTCGTTCACACACCATATAATTAACCCTTTACAGTATACAATTCAGTGGTTTTTAGTATATTCACAAAGCTGTCAACCACAACACTATCTAATTTCATTATCCAAAAAGAAACCCAGTTAGCTATCACTTTTAATTCTCTTCTCCTTCCCAGCCTTTGGCAACCATCAATATACTTTATGTCTCTATGGATTTTCCTATTCTGGACATTTCATATAAATGAAATAACATAGTATTTGGCCTTTTGTGTCTGGCTCCTATCACTTAGCATGATTTTTTCAAGATACATACTGTACATGTATCAGTACTTTATTCTTTTTTATAGCTGAATAATATGCCTTATATGCATATACAATATTTTGTTTATCCATTCATCAGCTGACAGACTTTTGGGCTATTATAGATAATGCTGCTTTCATTCTTGTACAAGGATGATTGTGGTGAATTTTTCTTTGCTATTCTATTTTCCTTAAGATTTTACTTTAAGTAATCTCTGTACCCAACATGGGGCTTGAACTCACAACCAGAAGACCAAGAATAACATGCTCTACCAACTGAGGCAGCCAGGCGCCCCTTTGCTGTTTCAAAATAAGATACCCATTAGATCAGTATGTTTTAGATGTAATTCTACTTACAGGTAAAAGGAAATGGCTAAAAGAGTGAGCAGGGCCCCTTTCAATTCAGAGTATGTGTGCTATATGCACACATATTATCTTTAGTAAGGCATTCATTGTTCTTCAATAATTGACCTTTTTACCCAACATAAACTTTCTACTCAAACTACATGGTCATTCAATTGTCTCTATGACCTGCTATACTCATTACCACTTTCACACAGCTGTTCACACAAATCCCACCAACCACGATGCTCTCCTCCTCTTCTTAGGCTATCCCAGGGTTCACCAGCCTTTAAGGGCTGATGACTTTGTTTCCACATCTGCTACAAAACCTTTTCACCTCTGCTCCTAGCAGTCTGAGCTTCTATAGCATGTGTCCATCCACATCAGTGTTTCTCAAATTCAATGTTCTCATAAACTCTGAGAATATGAATCCAGTTTGAGAAACTTCAATTTAAGAAGCTCAGTATATAAAAAGATACTTTAAAAAGCAGATTGTATGGGTGACAGTTTGGCAGTTTCTTGCAAACTAAACACTTGGTATTTAATCAAAAGAATTGAAAACTTATGTCCACACAAAGACTGCACATGGATGTTTATAACAGCTTTTTTCAAAATTGCCAAACCTTAGAAGCAACCAAGATGTCTTTCAGTAGGTGAATGGATAAACTGTGGTATATCCAGACAACATAATATTATTCAGCACTAGAAAGAAAGGAGCTATCAAGCCATGAAAAGACATAAAGGAATCTTAAATTGATAATACTAAGAAGCCAATCTGAAAAGGCTACATACTTAATGATTCCAACTATATGCCGTTCTGGAAAAGGCAAAACTATGGAGACAGGGAAGATAGCAGAGTAAACAACACTCTGCATCTGTCTTCTGCAAGCGCAACAATTACATTGGCAGAATCTGTCTGATGTAACTATTTTGGAATTCTGGAGTCTATTGAAGGCTTTCAGTTTCCAGGGGAAGACATGGAAGTTAAATTGAAGTTAACTTCAGTCAAGTTCAGTTCTTAGCAGTAGCAATAGCAACTACTCATGTCCCACCCCTCATGCAAAAGAATGAAGTTGGACTCTTACCTAAGATCACATATAAATATTGAGAATGGATCAGACCTAAACGTAAGACCTAAAACTATAAAACTCTTAGAAGAAAACAGGACAAGTGCTTCATGACATTGGATTTGGCAATTATTTTTTTGGATGAGACACCAAAGGCAAAGCAACAAAAGAAAAAAACAGACAAATCGAACTTCATGAAAATTTAAAATGTTGTGCACCTAAAAACAATATCCACAGGGTAAAAAGGAAATTCACTGAATAGGAGAAAATATTTGCAAATCATATATATGATAAGGGATTAATATCCAGAATATATAGAGAACTCCTAAAACTCAACAACAACAAAAACAACTTTAAAAGTGGGCATTAGGGACAACTGAGTGGCTCAGTTGGTTGAGAATCTCACTTTGGCCCAGGTCATGATCTTGCTGTTCATGGGTTTGAACCCCGCATCTGGCTCTGTGCTGACAGCTC